TTGCACAAGTGATTCATGTCTTATAGCGAAAAAATAACTGCACAGTCCAGATCACAGCTATTGAACTGTCAAAAGTGAGTTCTCCAAAAAGTCTCAGACTTTGATGTGCTGAAACTACTCTTCTATGCAAACCTTAATCAGTTGCAAGATAACTGAAGATACATGTACTGCCTGTTTCACATCCCGTGCCATTCTGTTTCTTCTTTTTGGGGCTCTCCATGGTGGAAACACTAGTGTACTTAGTGTCATTATCTGGTTTGACTACAGCTTTCAAACAGATGGCCTCGCATTATCTTCAAGCACTCTTTGAAACGATGCATAATTCATAGTGGAATCAGCTGCTCTGTCCCCGAGGCAACGAATCAAACTCCGAACTATAAGATTTCCAACACCATGCTGCCCACTTACATGGCTAATTTGGTTTCACAGACTACATAGAAAAGGTCGATATAGTTTTTGAATGCCTCATTTTAAGCCATCTGTATTTAGATGACAGGGCGGAGTGTTAATGAACTAATTCTAGCAAGCTGCGTGCACAGATCATGGGAACAATGCACAACACTAATGCTAATGTATACAGAGACCAATAAAATGTTACTCAGTAAAACTGTAACACAAACCTGTTGAGAGTTCATTACCATACAGCAAAGTTATTTCTAAGATAATTGTGTGAAAATATTCAAAAGTCATCAGCCTCCAACTTTAAGGGCTAAAAATACCTTTTTGTAATTACGCTCTGTAAAATGTAACTTTTTAAACACCAGGGGGCAGAGTTTTACTAAGGGCTGTGTTGAAACAGTTTATATTTCTTTTCTTAGCTTTCTACCATAGACTTTGCACCATAGCATGTGGTCCAAAGGTGTATTACATAAAAGTATAGGTACAGTACAGTTCTGGTCCCAACACAATCTGTTATTTTAACACATGAAGTCCTAGAAGCTATTTGTTTATATTCTGTTGATAGCTTTTGTTGATTTGGATGGTTTCAAACAGCAATTTACAGAATGTACCTGTGAGCCATGTGTGCCAGTCATGGACCTGCAGTTTTTGACATTTTGTTTGATTGTCTTTCTTTGGATTTCGTGAAACGTCATTTATTTGGAATTTGTCCAATAAGAGACCAAATGTCTCTCACACTGGCTTTTTAAATATCCCTCTTTTATGTACCCCAGACTTATTATTGGCTGGGGTACATTCTTGACCCTTTAGTCTTTTCTTTTAATTTCCTATTATGGCATCTCCATAACATGTTGCAACAAAGTAAACACAAGCGTGTGCGCATACAGTATCTTAATGCCAGAGCTATGAACTAGATGCACTGTGTCTCCAAGGCAACCTAAATTGGTCTCAGCAGGTATGTGGGCATCATGGTTTTTGCTGAGGACAGAGTGAGCAAGTGAGAATGAAAAACAGGGAGAGGGAAGAAAGCATGTGTGTTGGGGGTGGGGGGCAGTGTGGAAAGGAGTGGAAGGCAGGAGATAAGGCTTTGTGAGGGAGAGCAGGAGATGAGAGGTAAAGCTACAGGTTGAATGTGATTAGTAGAAAGCAGCTGCAGGAGGAGGAGGTTAAGGATGAAGGGGGCTGGGGTTGCAGGGTGTGAGTGGGGACAGTGATTGGGAACTAGCATGCTGCTTATTGCATGCCACAGAGAATACACTCAGTAACCAGTCTGCAGGATCTGTGCTTGTGTGCGCATTGCAGAAAAAGCTATTAAGCAATACCAGCACAGGCTGAGCTAACTAAATTACATCTCCAAAAAGGCAAGATTAAACTTTAGGCTAAATGCTCGTACACACACACACACACACACACCCTGAGACACACAGACACACTCTAGTCAATGTAAATGAGTGTTAGTGTCTAGTTATGGCAGAAGGGGTCCAAGAACACAGACGGCCCGTGGGTGAGATGACGCAGACACCTCACCCACACACACAGACACACACATGCTCTGATAACACGTAAATCTAAATATACACATGTACAAAGTCTGTTTCTCAGATTTGTCATATAACTGACTGAAGTGATGGAAAGCAGAGTGTGTCTTTGTGTATGTGCGTTCTGTGTTTGTCACAGCTTTCACCTGCATGTGCGTGTTAGGCTGCTCCTTAAGGTGTTGATTGGGGGATGCGTGGATGTATGTGAGCTGAAGTGCGACTTGGGTGTGTTCTGCATGCATCCTTTTCTCAGTCCCGGCAGCATCTCTTATTCCCCTCCTGTCCTGTCTGACTCTTTCTCCATTTCCCGTGTCCATCACAGAGATGTCACACAAACCTCTACAGGAAACTGAATGGTTGTTTCTTTTTTTTTAGGTTGGTTTCTCAGTGGCTTTTGCAGGATTTCTACTCCCACAGATCTACAGGGCAAGGGGATTCGAAAGTTAGGATTAATAAAAACATTGCTGAGATGCTACAGCTAGCACTTATCCCTAAACACACCTTCTGTTACTTGTTTCCAAAAATAACAGAAAGTACAATACAACTGCAGTTTTATTGTACTATATATATTCTATCAATACAAAGTAGTTTTGGTGACAATGAAGTTACTTTTTTAGTATGATAATACATCTTGCCACAGAGCAAAGAGTTTGAGAGGTTTTATTTATAAAAAACAAATCAATTCAGTGAATCAGTCCCAGTCAAAACTTATGGTGGAAATTGAGGGGGAAGAAAAGATTTATGAGGGTTCCATCCTGTAAAGCGGATCTGTCTTCTGCTGTTCGAGAAATGTGAACCCATCTGCATGGAGATGGTTTTTTTTGAGTCAGTGTAGTCCATGCCTCAAATAATTTAGGCCATTATAAAAGCCAGGTTTGCTATGTTTCATGAATCCAGAACGTTCATCTGTTAAACTAAAATACTTTTAACTTGTTTTGATTTGGTAAAACTTGCATGCCACTAAAGTGAAAGAACGATCCAAGTGTGGTGATTGTAAAAGTTTCTTTTTCTGTTTGCCAGCAGTTGTTTTGTGTCGGTGTCCACATGTGTGACAGCAGACAAGAGATTGCAGTACATATTGTAAATGCCAAAAGATATACATGTGTATTTGTTTTATGTCACTAAGTATGTGGAGTCTGGGCCTTATTTGGACCCTTGTAACACACAAAAGTCACTGAATGCATGAGGGCATGAAGTCTTCACGTTCCACTCCAACAAAAACGTATCTGAATCAAGAAATGACCTGAACTTTGTCACACAGTTACTGTGGGATATGACCCCTTGTTTCAGTTATTGAAGAATTTATACAATTTGTGTGTGTGTGGTTTTTGTTTCTTTCTTTTTTTCTTTAAAAATAAATATTTCTCATATGTCATGGATTAAATAAAGATCAGTAGGTGGCCTGTATAGATGGATAAAGGAAGTAAACGCTGCTCTGACGATTCTATCGAATTTTTTAACCTTTATTTGATGAAAGACAAACATGTTTGCAATCTAAGGAATAACAGTCATTCTTCTTTATTTGTTCCATATTGACAGATCACCAGAAGTCAATGGAGGGCAGATGTAATAAGAGATATGAAGGATAGAGAACCATGGCCTAACATGTCAGGTTTTAAATTAAATAAAGGTTGGGGATTTCCTGTCCATGCTGAAATATTAAAAAAAGTTGAATGCGATAAAGGTCAACCATTAAAATAAAAAAAGTCCAAGTATTTGGAGTGTTACATGAACATTTGTTCTACATGCTGAAGCGTAAAAAGGACCCAGTGCACCCAAGTGTCTTTCCCCTGCAGAGGAGAAATGAGGAACAGAGGACAGGTTTGGAAAAAGGGTGGCGGGGGAGATGTGGCGTGAACAAGAGGCTGTATGAATTATGGTGTGTGCGTGAACATCCTAATGAGTCACTGTCAAACTAATGTTTGGTTCCAGCAATTAGTCATAATTACTAGAAGTGTATGCATGGCTCACACTGAGGATTATACAGTATATTAGCCGTGAATTTCAGTTTCCCGTTGCTTCTAGGTAAGTAAAGCGGATGTGATTGTGCCTCATAACCTGCCTTGTGTGTGCTTTGTGTTTTGGCTTCGTAGTGCCTCTGTTTCAGTGACATTTCTGTTGTGCATTTAATATTCATTGATCAGTGTAGTCTCATTTGTCTTTATCATCTCGCCACGTTGTGTATGAAATCGTATTCTGGACACGGGTTGAATGTGACGTTGTAACCTCTGCTATACATGGCTGCCAGTGGTAACAGTGACAGATTTATTCTCATCCCATGTAACATTTCCAACATGTGGCTTCCACGTCTCAGCTAGCGGAGTTTCCATCCCAGTTTTTTATTTAAAAAGGAAATGGTTTTCAGGTCTAAAAACTCAAGTCAATGCAAAGAAGTCGAAGATTACTCTTTGGTTTCACAGATCTGTCATAAAAGGTATTTGTTATTAAGTTGCACCACAAAGACAAAAGTCTATTCAGAATAGAACATCTCATTTGTCTAGAATTTAAGATGTCTGCCCATGAATTGACTTTTCACAAGTTTGAAAACCTTACAGCCTTGAAATCTAATTAAAGAATTTATCAGAAGCGCATGTCTCCATGAGCAATCTAACGTGCAAACAGTTTCTCATGGAGCCCCTGAAGAAGTGGTCCTCTATTTTATATTTTCATAGTTTTATGAAGAAAAATTCTAAATTGTGTCAAAAAGCAATTCACCTACTTCAAAAGACGGTGTTTCCCATGGCTTGCTTGTTGCTGGACTCTGGGTGGACTTTATATGGATCTTAAATTTAGGAAACTGATGAACTTTTGCCTTTTTGTTTTTTTTAGATTTGTTTTTTTTTTAAATCACTCACCACTAAAGTGTTGTAGCATTTAGGATGAAGTAGTTTTCTGAGCAGACAGCATGTTTACTGGTGCTCAATATTTCAGAAACTGTTGGATGGAAACACAGCAATTATTGCCTAATTTTGAAAAGATTCTGTTTGCCCCGTCCAAATGTTAGTGCCAATCTCTGGGTGATGTAGTCCTAACATGTTACCTTGTTTCCTGCCGTCCCTCTAGTCTGCACGGTTCGCTGTCAGAAGTTCCTGATCTCGCGTGTCGGCGAGGACTGGATCTTCCTCATCCTGCTGGGACTCCTCATGGCCCTGGTCAGCTGGGTGGTGGACTTCTGCATCGCCATCTGCCTACAAGGTAAGCAAGCAAGGGACTGCATTTTTCACCTGTGGGTTTGAGAATGGAGAGTGCCAATAGTAACACAAGCAAGTAATGTACAGACTGTTTTATATTGGGATTAGAGTGGGAAGAGAGAGAAGTTAGTGGGAAGGGGGAGGTGGTAAAGGGGTGAGATGGCAGAGATGGGAAAATATATTGAGTCTATATTTTCAGATAACACTTTTACCCATGTGTACAAACATGAAGTGTAAACGAAGGGAAAATAAGAATTTGAACTAGCATGATATAAGTGCTTTAGAAATGGAGAAAATAAATTATTTCCATATGGCAAAAATAAAGCCTCACTCAACTTATATTCTGGTGTAATTCTCCCATCCATTTTTTTTTTAATACCAAATTTTTCCCAAGGAAATGTAATCAGGAGAAAGACCTTTAGATGTACCAGTGGTTGGGAAGATTTTAAATTCAGGAAGGTGCCATTTGATAAATGCCTGGTAGAGAATGGCAATAAATGGTACTTAAGGGGCTGAAAATAATGGGGGGGGGAAAAAAAAGCTTTAAAACACCTGATGACTTGGTGCTGGACCTTCTTCCAGTTGGACAGCAAGTTTTGCTTAATTAACAGCATAACTTGCAGAACTGTTTGGTGGAAGCTGTGGGAGTTCTAGGTGGTTCTGCAAGTAAATCAGGCCGAAATCAGCAGCCTCTCCAGTTAGTCTTTTATCCTGTTATTTGAGATCAGCTCCACCACATTAGAGAGCAGTTGTCAATTTAGTCTTTGTTCAGCTCTACACCTTTGTGGAGTTTATGCAGCAGAACTGCAGTCGGCGTTTAAAGCAGAACAAGGACATCTCCAACCAGCTGTAGACCACAACAGTGGACTGCAAGACAACAGACTTTTTGGAGAGGCAGCTCAAGGACCGCCGAAACGGTGACCTGGTTATTCCTCCAAGGAAATGGAAAAACACAACAGGAAGGGCTAGAAAAATTAAAATAAGAGTATATTACTTTTTCAATGTGACAGGGTTCTGCTTTATATAGATGGAGACAAATACAAGACATTAAGCTTTTTTTCTTGTGATGAGTTTTGCAGAGTGAAACTCTTTCCAGAGCTTTATCCAGACATCTGCATAATGTGGTAATTAATTAGGAATGGTTTTATTGATCTGTCCCTACAGGACCTTGTAAATAGAAATATTTTACTGAGGATTGAGCCCTGTTGGAAACGAATGCAGATGATAATAATGTGCAGCTTGTGATGTGTGAAACGTCTTTAGAGGAGTAAAACCAAGGAGGTGTAGCAGGCAAAAGTTTGGGGGTAAGAGAGAAGTGAGTAAAAAAAAAAAAAAAAAAAAAAAGGAAGCCAAGAGAGTGGTGGAGGGATTAACTGGGGATTCAAGGTTGATCAAAGGATGGCAGCAAGGATGAATGGAAGGCCTCTTATGACATCTATCATCAAACATGGAGGTAGATTTAGAAACAGAGAAAAAAGATGACGAGGGTGAGGGATTAATCACTAAGTAAACAGTACAGTCCAGGAAGAGGAAGGAAGTCCCTTTAAAACGATTGAAGAAAGTTGTGAGAGCTGATCAGAAACCTCACAGGACTGCGTCTAATTCAAATGGATTTCTCAAACTGTGTGTGTGTGTGTGTGTGTGTGTGTGTGTGTGTGTGTGTGTGCGTGCGTGCATTACGCTCTCAAGAGGATGCTAACCTAGTCTTGTCAATTCCAGTTATGCTGTACAGTTCTCGTAATTGGATCCAGAACATGACTAACTACCTGTCCTGTGCAGAGAAGAACCACACAGCTACACATCTTTCATGTCTTTAAAAATATTTATACAGCCGCTCTCCTGGTTGTGCATTGACTGTGGGCTTGTGTGTGTTCATCAGTTTGTTCTTGTGAAGTTTTATCTTTGACTGTATTCGAAATGAACACATTGTTTCCTGTGGAGTGTGTCTGCAATGCTGTATTCAGTGGATGGTGGCTTTACACGTCTGTCCTGGTTTGTGTCCACAGCACAGAAGTGGATGCACGGTGGTCTGGACAGTAATGTGTTCCTGCAGTACCTGGCCTGGGTCACCTACCCCGTTGTCCTCATCACCTTTTCCGCAGGCTTCACTCAGATCCTTGCTCCACAGGCTGTTGGTATGATTCGTATAAAATAATACTGGTTTGCTAACCACTTGCATTTAACCAATTTAGACCTTGTGAGTGAGTAACCACAAAATAATCAATTAATTTTGCAGGGCCAAAAATAAACAACAGCAAGGATTTTAAATCAAACAGTCAATGTGGCTGAAGTGCAGACTATAAGATTTAAATCAAGGGAGTGAATGTATTGCATTCATTTTTATAAACACCATTGTTTAGAATGTCAAAAGTAATTGGGCAAGTGACTATCAAAGACTTTCATTGCCAGGTGAGGCCTGTTCACTTGTTATTCCATGACAAAAGATCCAGGGTGTTAAACCTGTGTTTTGAAGCTGTTCACTGGAAATCTGAATATGAGATACAAAGAAATGTTGATGCAAGTGAAGGCTATCACTAGGGTGAAAAACCAAAAGGTGAGATGGAACTATTTTAGTCCACATGTGGGTCAAATCTGAACTAGAATGATATAGTGATTGACAACAAATACTAGAAATTTAATGATAGCGACACAATATCACCAGTAGTTTTACTAAAAAAACATTCCTTCAAAACACAGTGTACTACCCCTACTACATAAATAATAGTATAAGCATGTTGTGATTTGATAGACTGAACATTATCGACTGTTGCTAACATAATAGTCTGATAATAATGGTCAGGCTATAATTGGCACCCAAATTCATACAAGTTGCAGCTTTAGAAGTTCTGCCATCCTATAAGAGGGAACATGGTGAGATCTTTTTTTGTGTGAGGTAGAAAAAACACAGATGTGATGTCATGCACTGATCAGAATTTATTGGATCAAAATCTTGTTCATCTTAATTAATATGATTATTAAATTCTTATCAAATAGTTGGATTTCTTCTTAGAGATTTAGTTGTGAATGATAACAGCTTGAAAAATGATGTTCGATTTAAAACAATCAGCTATACGTGCCCACTGTTGTCCTATTACAGGTTCAGGTATTCCAGAAATGAAGACCATCCTGCGTGGAGTCGTCCTAAAAGAATACCTCACCTTCAAAACTTTTGTGGCCAAAGTCATCGGCCTCACCTGTGCCCTGGGCAGTGGCATGCCACTAGGCAAAGAGGTAAAACAAATCTGCTTCACGCACTCTAAATGTACATGTACTGCATGGTGTGTACATACAAATGAATACAAGTAGCTTTCTGAATGGGAATATGCTTTTGAGCTTTTGTGTCTGCCTGCATTAACAATACTAACAGAGAAGTTGAGAATAAGGACTTTGTACTTTAAAGCAGCGGTCCCCAACCTTTTTTTGCGTCACGGACCAGTTTATGCCCGACAATATTTTCACGGACCGGCCTTTAAGGTGTCGCGGATAAATACAACAAAATAAAACCAGTACCGGCACTGAAAAGAAGATTTATTCATAACACACGTGAAGACCCAGGAAAACCAAGTTAACGATAAAAACAATAACAAAATAACGCTGAAAACCGATAAAAACCCTGAAAACCATACATTTCACACTTGAGCCTCAACTCTCGCAGCCCAGTACCAAACGACTCACGGACCGATACCGGTCCGAGGCCCGGGGGTTGGGGACCGCTGCTTTAAAGGCTCCTAGCTAAGCTAACATTTTAATTTAAAAAAATAGGCCATTTTAAAACATTTCTATACCTACTTAGGCAAATTATAAGGTGGAATAAAAAATAAAAGGTGGAATACATTTTTTACTTCTAAAAGGTAAAACAATATCTCATTAATCTGGCCGAGATTGTAGTTACTGGTAGTTTACTAAACTAGGCTAGTTAGCTTTTAGCAAGACTATTCTGTCTGGTGTTATGTTTCTCTCCAATATAATTTTGGTATTGGCTTTACTTTTGTTTGTTGTTTCAGTTGTATAACAAATTAATTCTTAAGGGTTTAGAGCAAAATTGAGCTTTCTATTTCTATAAACTGGAAAAAGTAAGTTGTTAACTATTGCTTTAACTATGGTCAGTTATCACTTTAGCTGTTGATAATTTATAGACTAAAAGTCTTACCTTAAGAGTTCAGAGAAGTACTAATAATATTCTGCATGAGGAAAAACCTGCTCTCGTTGGAAATTCCATGCTATTGCAGTCTCTGTAGGTTGTTACTATTGTTTTGTGGAACTGGTCATACAGCATTGTGTAAAAGTCTTGAGCTACCTCTCATTTCTTTATATTTTGCTTCCAAGGAGCTAAACATTCTTATAATTTTTAAAGTGGTCATAAGCAATAGTTCTCTAGCTTTCTGACGATCTTTCAAATATTATCTTTGGAAATTCGCTGGTTTTTCACTCATTTTCTTTCCAGTCCTGATAATGGACTAGTTTCATAGGAATATTTTTTTTGATTGCTAAGCTGCTGACTTATGAATCATTCAATTAAAAAAAATGCTCTTAACCCAAGGGATAAACTAGTGTTCTGTCTACACATAACAGACATGACATAACTGTATGTGTGTGTTGGCACTTTATTACTAGTAGCCTGCCACAAAAACATTTAATTTGTTCCCATTTCTTTAGTTGAATCTATGAAAAATGCCAAAGGTAACACAGTTTGTCAGACATAAAATATAATTTTTGCTCCAGGTAATTTCTAAAGCATGGTGTGCAGTGTGTCCTTAAAAAATTGGTGAAGGACAAAAGAAATGGCAGGCCTAACAAAACTACCTGATAAACAGTATCTGAAAGTCATGTCTTAAGACATAGGAAAAAATCCTCTGACACAGGACCTGAGAGATGCATCTGGCCCTTCAATTGATCCAACTAACATTCACTGAAGCCTCATCTGAAGTGGTCTCAGTAGAAGAGTGGCAGTCAAGAGGCTATTCTTAAAGAAGGGAAACAGAGAGAAAAGGCTGACATATGCCAGATTTAACAAGAACTTAACTGAAAGTCAGTGGTAACTGGTCTGTTATGGTTAGGGGCTGCATTGCAGCCAGTGATCTTGGGGATTTTGACATTTGGTGGAGTCCTCACAGCTTATACCTCAACATTATTGAAGCAGTGAGGGATCATCTTCAGAGAGAGTGAAATAAAAGTCACCCAGCATTTAAAGAAGAGCTTTGATTGTCATTCAAGAAGCCTGGAGAACTATTCCTGAAGACCGCTTAAAGAAATGACAAGAAAGCTTGGTGGACAAATACATGTATTATATGTATGTTTGCACAGAGTGAAGACTAACAGTTTCTAGTAAGATGGGTTAAGATGTCAAATTTGTTTTGAACAGAAGTACAGTTAGTATGTTTTTTCTGTGTAGGACAGAAACAGACAGCCATGTCTTTATTGCTACCTTTATGAGACACAATCTAGTTTCTCTTTTTACTTTTCAGCGAAACCCAAGCGCTGACCCACATTCTGCTTTTGATGTTTACTAGCACAGTTTCAGTGATTCACAGCATTAAACCTTTGTGTTGTGATACAGAGCCTTCGCTAGCAGCTGGGCCCTTTCAGCTTTGAATGCCGGCTTTTACAACATTCAAAATAAACATTAAGCATCGCTTCAGAAGACGAGCTTCCACTCAAATCATTACTGGTTGTCAGAAACCCACGTAGGTCACAGTAAGGTGTCTGAACAGTGGTAGGGTGTGTTGTGAAACGACTTGCCTTAAATCTCTCTGTATATTCACATACTACAGCACATGAACCTTTGGCTGCTCATTCACATCCCTGCATCATCCCTTGGGTTCAGGTGACGGAAAGTAGGAAGGTACAGGGATGTTTTCTGATCCAGCTGGGAGAGAGAAGGCTGTTTTTCTGGGAATATTTACATCCCTTTACTTCACGATGCAGATGTTGTTTATATCGCTGAGTATTTTTCAGGTTTTTTGTAGCAAAAACAGATCAGGTGTCAACTCAGCTTTTTGGAAATGCATTTGGTTAACTTTTTGTTTGTTTTGTTTTAAATGCTCTGGTACTTCTTCGTGAAGCACTTTGTGATCTTTGTCTTGAAAGGTGCTATAGAAATAAAATTTCACTTACTTACGGTTTTTCCTACACCCACAAAAGACAGCCTTGCCTGAAGACATTCTTGCAGGAAAACACTGTTTCCTAACACTTGTGCACACAAACAGCCCTCAGGCCCTTCTGGTTACACAGCACTGCAGCAACACCCAGCGTTTAGATTCAGAGCAGGCCTCTCGCTGCCTTTTAAATTGAGCATCACTTTTCTGCTGCTCTCACTTTTAATCCTGTTAGTTCCACTTTGAACCTCATACTCTGAATGTTAATATTCCCGCTGACTTTCTCCCTGTTGATGTGTTTTCAAAGAGTTGTGTTGTCTTGTGTGACTGACTCACAATAAACACGAGCCCAGAGTGCTCCTTAATTTGTAATTTTTTTTTTTTAACCTGATTTCTGTCTGCGTTATTCCTCCTGTCAGGGTCCCTTTGTGCACATCGCCAGTCTGTGTGCAGCTCTCCTCAGCAAGTTTATGTCTCTGTTTGGAGGAATCTATGAGGTAAGGCTAACACTTATTAATATAACACAAAAAAGTCATCTTTTATATAATCTTAAACATCTACTGTTACTTTATTGTAATCATTTTAATATTTTACTTTTATTTTCAAGCTAAAATCTCACATTGTTGGTCTGAACTGTCCTGATGCCATAATCCAGATGTGATCTTGATATTCCCATTAAAGCTTTAGCTGGGATTCTCCTTTCAGGCTGTATGCATACCCTACCTTACTGGTGAATGTACTCAGCAGTTAAGCCAAGCCAAAAAGCACTACATATTCACTTTATATGATATTTATTATTGACTTTTTACATTAGTTGGTTGCACATGGAAAAAAAAAGGTATGAGGGTAGTTCACCATTCTTATAAATATTGTGGGAAAATTGTATACTTACGCATCATATGATCTCATCGTTGCTGGCAAAGACTCCAGTTTAATGCTCTTTGAAGAACAGACTGTATGCCGTCAAACACCGATCATCTCCAGTCTCCAGTACCATTTGTGAACAGCACTGAGACTCCGATAGACATTAGAAATGAGGTTTTTGTTGAATGTTGTTAAAGTTCAGAGCCACAGTCTGGGCTTTGGCACCAACATACCCAAATTAGTGATTTGCTGAGGGTTTCCTCTTTGACTTTCATGAGGCGTACAACCAAATCAGTGGCTGGAAATGTGAGGAAGTAAATTGTCTGAAAGGATCTTCCAACACTGTCCTTACGTTGGATTAAAAATATCAGCTCCATAGCCTGAAACTATACTTAGTTGTGTGCTGGAGCACTGGATTTCAGCATTGGCAATCAAAAACATTCGCTTACCTTCCTAATGCAGGACTTGCAGCCATTTGCGTGTGTATTAGTCCACGCAAACCAGCAGCACACAGCTCGACATTGATTCCCTGTGTGGTTGAAAACTAAACGATAAACAGAAAACAGAAGCACAAAAAAATCAAAGATAAAATACAAAAACAGCATGAAAAGCACAGCCTGGTGGCCCACCTTCGGGAACGAAAACCAAGTTTTTAGTGGGCACATCCCGTTTCAGTTCTTTTATGTTAACTTCACTCATTTCCACGACTGGATGAACGACCAAAAGTGGCACAAGCAGTAGTCCACAGACTGGTTGTCTGTGTCACTGCCCCCTGGTGATAGTAAACAGCTACAACGTTTGTCATTTGGTGTCGTTTCTTGGATTGGATGAACTGTTGTCTCAGCACAGAACATGAGACCAGGAGTGATGCTTAATTTTCTGCTGTGGCTGACAGGGTGAAGGTGGGTTACAAAGCCGCTTGCAGGATTGTTGCACCTGTGGGCTGGCTAAATCAGTTTTAATGCCTTTCCCAATGTAAGAATTGCCATTTGGATGTTTAGAAGAGTATCAAATGGCACAGGCAATGAGCTCACTGGCCATGATTGTGGCTGAGCCTGCCTGAACCAATGCTATGACTGATGGTCAGTAAAAGCTTATTTTTAGAAGATCAAAGGCAGGAATGTTGCAAACTATTTAATCAGTTTTCCCTCAATTTGTTTGATTGACGTGTTTGAATGGCGGGGCGCTGTGGACACCCAAGTTTGTGATTGCGTAGAATTTTCAAATTAATACCATGGTTGCATCTACTGAAAACCTCTGTTAAGTTTAAATCTCAGTGACTGGTGATTGGTAAGAACTTGACGCAGTTTTTAAGCAAAACTGTATCCAAGTTCAAGACCATATTCATTTGTTGTTTTGGTTGTTATTTATTTAAGGCTATTTTTTTAATTTTCACAAGAATTACTAGTTCGCCCAACAATCAGACTATTCCCTGTGAGCAGGCATTTAGTAACTGTGGGGAGGAAAAGCTCCCTTCTAAAGGGAAGAAACCTCCGACAGAACCAGGCGCAGGAAAGGACAGCCATCTGCCGCAACTGGTTGGGGTTGGGGGAGTGAAAATTAAAAAAAAAAAAAAAAGCCAAAGTGATAATTATTGGAGCAGCTAAATTAATTTTTGCAGTATAATTTGCTGGTAATATCCTTTTCCAACCCAGTTTGTGTTTTTGTCACTTTTGCCCAGGGTCAAAGAAGCAATGCTGGAGATTGCTACTGTGTGGTCTTTCAGTGTCAATACACGGGAGCACCTCTTAGAGAGGCCAGGGTTGAAAAAGGGATACTGGAGACCCTCTGAGGGTGTTATGTGCTGGTGTGCATCCAAGGCCAACATCTATTTAATTCTAATCTGACAATCCATTCTATACTCAGCTGACCTGTGAAATGTACAAATATATATGATTATGGAATTTGTATAAAATGTTTCTTATTCTTGAGATTGAAATTGTATTTTCATTTCATTGATAGCAAATGTTTAAACTACAGTTCTATCTAGGTAAAAAACAGAAGTGAAATCAAAATAAAATTTTAGAATAGGCCTGATCAGAATATCAGATATACACTAGATGAAAAACTCTCTTTTCCAAGTACTTGCTAGAATTGTACCAAATAGACAATAAGCCTTGGTTTCTACTTAACCAAATACATACATACCCGAATTAATTAGCATAGCGTTAGTACATTTTTAATTCCCGAGATTATGAAAACCGATCAAACTGATCAAACGTTTGAACAAAACGTGTGATGTTCACATGAAAGACCACCTTATACAGTGCTTACAGCGGAAATGATGAGGGACAAAATCTGTGCTGCCTGTTATATGAAGAGTCTGAAATTTTAAACAAATATGTGGCTGAATTATACAAACATAGTGAAAGTCTTAGTGTACCCCTGTATGTTGGCACAGACTGTGCCCCTGCTGAGCTGCAGCAGAGGATCAGTAACACAAGAGAGAATCTTTTTTTTTTCTTTTCTTTTAAAAAAAACCCCAAAAAAACTAACTTTACAAGATACCCCCTTGATCCGACTTATCCGAAGATTCTGGGGCCGTGTTGCACATAAATAAGCGTATTCCTAAATGTTTACAAAAACTAAAAGATTCAACATTTTTGCACCTGCATCTGTGTTAATGTGGGCATTCAAAGCTAAATAGATATGAAAATATAAATGAACCCCCTTAAAGTTACTATTGTGTTTCTGAAGGAGACCTAATAGATGCATTTCTGGTTAGACGTACCAACTGCTTTGACATTAAGATGGAATCAGAAAATTGAAAATTTGAGTTCTAGAGGGGGATTTTAGTTGGAGTTTAGGAATGACAAGCAAACAATAGCGAGTTAGTTTAAAGTATATACATGAATTTCTCATCCAGAACTAAATGCCCACTATATGTGAGTATAGACTCAAAATGCAACTGTATGAATGTAACTTATGCAATCTAGAGTTGGTGGATCTGCAATTAAATTTGTAATTACTGGCACATGGATTTGTGAGATTTAAGTCTATTTACTCTAAGATGCAAATTAATGCATAGTATGTATGGGTCTTTCAGTGTAGGCAGGGAATTTATGGAGGGCAGTTTCAGTTGTTCAGAACAGTTCACAAAAGCAACTTTGCAATATCTTGAGCCAACCCTTGCAAAATCCCCAGGTCAGGGAAAAGTGCAGGAAATAAAACTAAACAAAAGCTAAGAGATTACGAACACAGCGGAAGGAGGGGGTGCTGACATTTCTTTTCTTTTTTTTTTTTCAAGCTGTTTGAGTTTGAAGTAACAAAAAAAGAGAGCAGAAGGCCTGAAAGAAAGGGTAATGATGAAGAGAAATGGGGAAGGAAGAACAAAAAGAATATTTGAGGGTGAAGACCAGAGCTGGAACTTATTTCCAGCAGGGTTGGTGGATTTTTGGGATGCTGAAGCCTGCAGCTTTTTTCTTTTTAATTACTTTTTATGGAGCACATAGGCTCAACATAGAGCTATTAGTTGTTAGTTAGTTTCTAACTTTTTGTCCCTCTGTTATTTGGGCAGTTAAAAAGTTCAGGGTTTTTTTCTTCTTTTGTCTTCAGGAATTGCTCTCTTGCAGCTCATGTATAGTCAACAACCACTTATATCCTGTTTTTTTGAGGTTTGAATCACTTTTATTTGTACACAAATACATCTTTTCATCGTTTCTTCCCAGAAACGTATTCATTGATTGAGATGGACATTTTGGAAGCGCTAATGAGAATAGGGAGAAGAAGAAAAAAAAAAAAGTCAGATGGAAATTACGCTGAGTGTGTATCCATTGGGAGAGGAAGCTGGGAGCTGAAGGAAATCAGAAAAACCTTTGACTTTTTGTTTTTCTCGTGAGATGTGAGCATGTCCGTTGGGGGGGTGAAAAGTTGAGAAGTTGAAGAAAGTACAAAACAAAGCTGGTGTACTGGGAAAAGGCTCTACGCTGTAGCCACTATATCCCTACTCCGCATTAAGCTAAAGGTAAACACTGTATTGCCACTACAAATATCAGATAATGTTTTGCTGACCCATCCAGCCACCTGGACCTACTCGCTACATGGACTTTATTGCTCTATAATGATGCCACCCAAAGTCTCTCTTCACACTATATACACGTCAAAGTCCCTGTGATTGCTTTGCCCCGTGTTGTAGTTCATCCTGGTAGATTGTACACTTTTTCAAGATTATTGAGAACTGCTGACCAAATCCTTCTAGCTTTCCCGAGGTCCAGATTAAAGCAAAAAAGGAATCAGGCCTTTGCTGTGGCTGTGCTGTGGAACAAACTGCCCCTTCACATCAGGACCTCCCCAACATCAAAAACCCACTTTCATTCTCTAGCTTTTAAATCGGAATGAGTTCTGTTACTTTTATTTTTTATTTCTTACTCAGGTTTTCTCGTTTTGTTTCTTTTGTTAAATTCTTGCCCTATGCTTTTATGTCATTTGATGATTTTAGATGCACAGCACCTTGGTCAACAGCTTTTGTTGTGCTGTAGAAATAAACTTGACTTTGACTTTGTTAGAAAAAGTTGTCATGCAGGCCGGCTAACTTCTTCCAAAATAAGTTTTTGTCCAAAAAGACTCGTGCAACGCTATCCTAGAAGGAAGAGTCGTGCAGTTGGTGCATAGATTTGACCTTTTGAAATGTCTTTCTGAGAATATATAACACACCGTGCAGCCAAAAGATAGTTTTAATGCTAACTGTTGTGAATAAAAAATGTACTAGAGTCCATTTAAATTCGCATTTCATTATCTGATTTCACTTCAGGTGAAGATGAAAAGTAGTAAAAATGCTCTTTGCTTTTGCGTATGTCCGTATACGTGAAAACAAACAGTTCCAGTCTGTTCTGACTTTTACATCCAGCCAATTTAAATGTAGCAGCAGTAATTAGTTTACAACCGTCATTCAATGCATTCTGCCCCTCCACGCCATTATTTTCCCTCTCGTACCGCTATTTATTTTTCTGTTAAATTTTCCATCTGCCTCTCTTCCTTTATATTAGTCTCTTCTGAAAACCCTATCATGGGCCTCATTAAATAGTCTACCTGTAACCCTCTGTTATTCCATCCTGCTCTCCATCCCTCCAGAGTGTTGTCACGCATTTTATGGCATATTAATGCTGAGTGTGTATTTGCCTGTGTGGATGTGTGAAGAGTCCCTTTGCAGCAGTATCTGGTCCTCTCTAGTGGTTGAAGTACAGTATGCTAATGCAACCTGCAGGCTGTAAAAATTACCTTTCTATTTCAGAGTGCCATACTTTAAAAAACAAAAAAAACAACAGCGTTTTCTTTTTTGCACTTCATATTTTTCCCATACACATTGAGTACTCTTGTTTGAATACAGCTGGCATTTGATTAGATATTATAAGATAAAATGCATTTTACTTGAGCTGTAAATGTCAGCGGAGGAAATGTTGAGTTTAATGCTAAAACACCGGGGACTCGGTTTCTTGAGTCTTGTAGCATCACACAGCGAGTTTAGGCAGTAATGAAAAAGACTCTTGCATTTGTTCTTTGCTAGCTTAACTTGTGTCTCTTACTCCCATGCTTCCTGTAGGAGCCCGGTGTTACAGGGATTAAGGTAATTCAGCTGCAAAATTCCCAGCATGAACATTCCTTCATCCCTACAGCTAAAGTCAAACTGATTTACTGAGCTCCATTTGTTACTTATTCCACTATCCAGTCTACAAAACATGCTTTAAGTAGTGCTGTCAGCATTGATCTCGTTAAAATGACGCTAATACCATAACCGCATTAACGCCGCAAATCTCCATTAACGAGTTAGCGCAGATCGCCCCGTGCATGGGGCTGAACGCTAACGCATTCATGCAATAATGCGCTAACGCGTTGACGGCGTGCTGTTTTAACAAGATTAGCGCTGACAGCACTAGTTTTAAGCCTAGAAATAAAGTTTTTTCCCCATTTGTTTCACCTTAAAATTATTAGTCAGGCTCCATTAAAAGATTTTTTTTTTTATTTCTTATGTAAGCCCATACATACATGCATAACCCACTGTTCAAATACAGTTAAAGACTAAAAGAAAGGAGAAAGAGAAGAGCAAAAACACACTCTCTTTTATTAGCATTTGTAAAGCTTTATCAAAGCCACTGTGTGTACTATTCATACCCAACAATATTTGAGTCTAGTGAAAATGAACTGAGAATTTACTTTATCTGCATTTATTATTTATGATTTATTAGAAATAAAAACAGCAAGTCTGTTCTTCTTTAAGTACTTTAGTGGAACTTTAGTTTTACTTCAGATTTGTCTAGAAGTCGATTGGAGGCCACTTGGTCTGTAATGGCCAAACAGAACACTGTGGATTGGGAAATGTCCAAGAACACAAAGGTAACTCCAGCAGATTTTTAGAAGTCCTCCAAAAGATGGAGAACTTGCAAAACAGAGGACCATCTTGTATCATCAGTCATGGTAGAGCTGCTCCATAGACCTCTCTCAGTATACAGTAGGGCAAAGGATAGTTCACTCAGAGTACTTTAAGCGAGTCCATTAGGGAGGAGATCATCTGTTCTGACGAGACAATAGTGGAACTGTTTGGGGAGAAATCCAGGCATAATGTGTAGCGCATCACCGCAGCTGTTATAGTGAAGCATGGCGGTATTGGCATCATGCCTTTGAGTTGCAGGAAGGATGAATGAAGCCAAAACATCTAAAAAACTAATTTCTACTTTATCCTTTTTATGTCTTTGAAAGTAGATTGAATTTGTTTGAATCTACAGGTAAACTGAATTTTATCAGTTTAAAATAAAATCTGTGACAACGGAGATAAGCAGTAACTTTCTGAACTTGGAGTAACTAAGCCTCATGCATGCATGGTTTCTTCTAAATGTTCAAAAAATGTTTGATAGACTGAAAAACGTTTTTTTTCAGTGGGTTTTTTTTTGTGTATGTTTTGGTGGGATAACAGGAGAAATGAGACAAACAAAATAAAGACAACAAAAATCTGCATCAGAGAAAGTTGCATGTGCAATCCTGGAATCTGCTCAGAATAATTCACAATTCATAATCCATGCATCCCTACTTGTCATTCACAGAGGAAAATTCTCTGAAGTTTCCTTTGTTTTACTAAATATTAAGCCTTACACGCACCTTCTCGTCCACACCAACTTTTCCACATAAAATATTCTGTTGTGAAAGTAAAACACGCAGTAACTTTCCTTTACCACTGCCATGCTGCTTGAAGGACATCGGTCTCATAGGAATGAAGGTAAATAAGACCAGAAGTGTCAAAAAGAAAGGAAAAAAACCTCCATTCCCATAATGCACCACAGTCCATCCCGCGCTCATGCAGCATGATTGTCCCTTTCCCACTGTCTTTCTGACTGTCTTACGACACAGCTCATTATATGATCCTTCATTAATATTATTACTGTTTAATTTAAAATATAAAAAATGATTTTCATATATCCATGGTATTTTTTTTTAATATTTTTTGACTTTTTTTGTTTTTAAGACATCCAATTTGTTTTGTACTCATTTGAAATTCAATTTTGCTTTGATTTAGGAATATTTTACTTTGCTTGTTAATTGTTGATTATTATTGTTGTTGTTGTTGTTGTTATGAGTAGGAGGAGGAGGGGTTTTTTTTGTTTTTTTTAGTTGATAAAAAAATAAATTTAAGCAAACCTTTTTCACTTCATCATTATGGAGCATGTATATGGAGGGTGTAGGTGAAACCATTTTGGAATAATGCTGTGACATGACAAAAATGTGGAACAAATGAAACACAGAATCCTTTCCGGATGCTTTTTTTTTTTTTGCTTAGGTGTCTTATTAAAAGTGTGTCATAGAAAAAATGTAATGAATTGACTCACTTCTTTCCTTTTCGCTTTTGTTGTTGTTGTTGTGGTTGCTGTTGAATGACTGCTGGTGACTGAAATCTAACCACTGTGTGGTTTCAGAATGAGTCGAGGAACATAGAGATGCTGGCAGCAGCCTGTGCCGTGGGAGTTGGTTGCTGTTTCGCTGCCCCCATAGGAGGTGAGTCTAAAGCAAACGTGATGTAGTACCTGAAGCCTGTGGCACTCTGTAATGAGCTAAATGTGTAAGCACTGTATAACTTTTACAATGTGTAACCCACTTAACATATAATGGGCTGCATGTTGCTGAAATGGATGGAGCAATCAGTGCTGTTTCATGGGAGATGTTTTTTTGCGGAGGTATTCTCTTTCTGTACACCCTCGTATCATCTCATGTTAAATTTAGAGCCCTGGTACAGCCTTGGAGCACACTACACGCCTTTGTATCAGTGACATAATTTATTTAGCTTCTAGCTGGTTTTTCTTCAGCCTGTGCTTCCACCCCACCATGAATTCATCTTGCTAAGCCTGAGCTAACTGAGGTAAATGACATTTCCAAAAATGGAGATCATGTCTGAATACAGACGCTGGCGAACAAATTCATCTGTGTGTAATGCAAGGAAATGTTGTTGTTACTTGAGTGTTACATGAAGGACTGCATGTCAAGAGAAGTCCATTTCACTTGTTTGTGCATTTTTTAAATGTCAGTGCTCATGCCTTGTGGTGTTTGTGTGTTTAAGGTGTGCTGTTCAGTATTGAAGTAACTTCCACATTCTTTGCTGTGAGGAACTATTGGAGGGGCTTCTTTGCTGCCACTTTCAGTGCCTTCATCTTCAGGGTATTAGCTGTTTGGAACAGAGATGAAGGTAAGACTGATGTGTTCATTGTACTTAGTATAAGACAGTATAAGCACTTTATTAGGAACACTTAGTCCAGCACAATCAAATCCATTTTTGTAGTAGCTAGTGGCATGTTCAGTGTCTTTTGTTTTTGAGGGGCAAAAAAATCAGATAAAAGTCGTATCAAAGCAAGAGTGGCCTTAAAGTTGGTTCAAACAGTGGATAAACTGAGGGGCTTCACCAAGGCTCGGTTTAAGATCGATAAGGAACGAGCTGTGAGTCATGCAGTTAGAATTCAAATATAAGGCTGGAAATGATCAGAGTGAGTCCACTTTAAGGTCCAATGTTTTAGTGGTTTGGAGACGGGGACCAGGTCTGCAAGCGCTGAGCCATCACGTCATGTCTTCACAGCAACTTTTGTGAATTAAGACAGTGAAAAAGCAACAATAAGATGGAGTCAGTCTGCTATGAATTTGGGATTGAATGGTCCAAATTTTTCAATTTCATGCAGTCTTTTGTGATATAATTTTTTAGCATATAACATACAATATAATAGCAAATAATTTCTAGCATATAACCCTTTTTAAAATATGCTTTAATTGACACTGTAATCCAGAAAAGCAGAAATCAATTTATAAACAAAGATTTATACTTCCAAAGTGAAACTGTGAAAAATTGCAGGACTTTTAATAAATAAATGTCCAGGTGTTATACAGGATGTCCAGTTTTGGCGCACCTTGGACACCATATACGAGTAGAATTTCTGCTGTTTTTTTAAACAGCAGAAATGATTTAACTTCATTACCATGCTTAGAAATGCCTGTCTTTTGAATATTTTTGAAGAATTAACCACACATTCCCAGTCAGCGGGCCCTTTCTGTCCTGCACCCTGGTGAGTTTAAATGGCCTCTTGCGATTTAAACTCTGAGGGGCTGTAGCCTAGGCCTCTATTGGCCAATTTGCATGATTGACACCTCTTTTTAATCGGTTGAGCCAATAGAATCACAGTGACATTTTTGTGGTCTTCTTTTGCAGCTTGTCTAGTGAATTTTGGTTGGAGCATGGTGAAACTTGGTGTTTTGGAATGCGTGAGAGAGCCCTGCAAGCAAACTAGCCATTGTTTTCATGGCTACCTGAAGTCTGGAGATTTCTTGGCTCGGTTGTGTGTGTTTAGCGGACTTTTGCGCATTTAAGTAACTGTTCTTTTAATCATTGCTTGTTTTCGCTGTGTTTGGTGGTTGTAGAAATGGTTTATATGAGGATTTAGCTGAGATACTAAGGTTTCTGTGGATGTTGATATTTGCAGGTTTGGCTCTTGGAGTGTTACATACCTCTTGAGCCTGGGGGCAATGGGGTTTTTAATCTGTGTATAAATGAAGCTCTGTCATTATTTTACTAGTTACATGTGTGCAAGTCTAAATAATATACTGAGTAAAGGACAAAGACTTGCTGCAACACTGGAGGTGCTAAAAATAGAATTTTCATCCTACCAAAACAGTAAACTGAGAAGTTCTCAGTGGCAGGCGTCCAAACTTCTTTGGGATTTCCAGGATCCTGTTAGTGGTTTAATTTTTCCCAGCCTTTTCTCCCACCAGTTGTTTAATGTGGTCAGGTTTTGTGAGGTTTGGAGTTTTGGGGCGATCGTGGTTCAAGAGTTGGGAGTTCGCCTTGTAATCGGAAGGTTGCCGGTTCGAGCCCTGGCTTGGACAGTCTCGGTCGTTGTGTCCTTGGGCAAGACACCACCCGTTGCCTACTGGTGGTGGTCAGAGGGCCCGGTGGCGCCAGTGTCTGGCAGCCTCGCCTCTGTCAGTGCGCCCCAGGGTGGCTGTGGCTACAATGTAGCTTGCCATCACCAGTATGTGAATGTGTGTGTGAATGGGTGTGACTGGATGTGTAAAGCGCTTTGGGGTCCTTTAGGACTAGTAAGGCGCTATACAAATACAGGCCATTTACCATTTTTTGGTCATCACCTCCACAGTAAGCTGAAGTTTTCCTTTTTACTCCTTCCATCAGTCAGATCAGTCAGTGATGCATCAGTAGCTTTAATATATTTTATTTATTGCCCTATATGTGTTTAGAAGACCTGTTTTTAACCTCGCTTAATGACTTTGAGGTCTGTTCAGTGATACAGTGGCTTGTCCTCTCTCTCTTTCTCCAGAGACCATCACAGCTCTGTTTAAAACCCGCTTCCGATTAGACTTTCCCTTTGACCTCCAGGAGCTTCCTGCCTTCGCTGTCATTGGGTAAGTTGGTTAAGATGCTGAAGTTGGTTTCAATTCAATTCAATTTTATTTATATAGCACCAAATCACAACAGCAGTTGCCTAAAGGCGCTTTATATTGCACAGTAGATTGTACAATAATAGATACAGAGAAAAACCCAACAATCATATGACTCCCTATGAGCAAGCACTTTGGCGACAGTGGGAAGAAAAAAACTCCCTTTTAACAGGAAGAAACCTCCGGCAGAACCAGGCTCAGGGAGGAGCGGGGCCATCTGATGTGACCGGTTGGGTGAGAGAAAGAAGACAGGATAAAGACATGCTGTGGAAGAGAGACAGAGTTTAAAAAAAACAACAACTCATCAATTAGACATTACCCAGCAGGTCCGTACTGTAAATAAGACCAAGCCTAAATGAATAAAAAGCTGATTGTCAACCAATATTAGTAAGAAAATGGAAACTAGCTTGTTTCACAAAAAAATTCAAATAAATTCATCCACTCTGAGTCAGTTTTGTCCACCTGGTTGCGCTGACAGGTATTCCCATTTATTATGATTGCCTCATAAATTCAGACATTATTCAGGAGATCCACTTACTGTAGCTTGTGAAGGTGTTACCTCAGGGTGGACTGCGTGAATCACCTAACATGGATTATTCAGCTTGCAACAGTTGCCAGCGCACTGAGGGACGTCTTATTTTATCCTGTCCTAGCCTGAGGGCTCTTCTGTGCCTGTGAAAGAGACCACGGGCTCCTAGAAGGAAGCTGGTTGAGAGTTTGGAGGGGGTGCTCTTGCTCCATACTCTGTCCTTCTTTTTCAGATGAAAGC